CAGCCCTCCAGCCAGCTGGTGACCCATTTGACTGTGTGGGTGTCAACACCATAGTCCCCCAGTTTCTTAATGAGAACGGGGTGAGAGACAGTGTCAAAGGCCTTCTGGAAGTCCAGGAAGACTATGCCCACTGCTACCCCTGCATCTAATGATCTGATCGTAAAAGGCCACCAGGTTGGTCTGACAGGACCTGCCACTGATGAACCCGTGTTGGTTGCCCCTAAGCATGCAGTCCCCTGCTGGCCCTTCCTGGATGTGTGCCAGAATAATTTTCTCAAACAGCTTGCCTAGGATTGAGGTAAGACTAACTGGCCTATAGTTTCCCGGGTCCTCCTTCCTCCCTAGGGGAAGCCCCCCGGATCCCTCTTAGCTGAGCCGGTAGGGAGCCGCGCGAACACAGTGCGCAAACAGGCGCGTTCTGTAAGAGCGCGCCGGCATTTACATCGCCGGGGGAGCAGGAAGGGCCCAGAGGCAGACTCCTGCTAGAGCGGGGCAGAGGCACTACACTCAGCTAGAAACAGGCAGCAACTCCTACGATGGTCTCGACACAGAGTGCTGCCAGGGCCCCTGCCTGGGGGGCGCAGCCTTCCCAGGGCTTGTCTGAGGCCTCCACCCAGATGGAGCCCCCAGAGGGGCTGGCATCCCGCAACCCCCTGGCCTGCGGGAGCTGCGCAGCAAGGCCTGGAGGGGCAGGGACTGGGGACCCCCACACCTGTCCTGCAGGCGCCTGCCTTAAGGCCCTGGAGGCGCGGGTGAGAGAGCTCCAGGAGGAGGTTAGCAGGCTGAGGGGAATCCAAGAGGCACAGGAGGAAATTGACAGTTATTTTCTTTCCCTGCAGGGTTGTATGACCAAGGAGGATGCACCTCAAGAAGAGCCCTCCACTGCTAAGTGGCAGACAGTCACCTCCCGTGCCAGGGCTGCTCATAACACAGCAGCACCAGTTCCTCCAGTTCGGCTAGAGAACAGGTACGAGGCCCTGGCAGCCCTGGAGGAGGAGGAAGAAGGAGAGGACGAAACCAGGGAGGAGGCAACTCCACGCTCACCACGTCCCTTGCAAGCTGAAGGAGACAAGCAGGCCAGGATGAGGAAGCGTCGCGTGATCGTCGTTGGCAACTCCGTCCTGAGAGGTATGTGTTGCCAGGAAGGAGTGAAGATGAATTTCAAGGATTTTTACTGGGTCAAACCCTCTAACTGGTTTTCATAGGTTTACAAGTGTTATTTTCTTGTCAACTGTCTCTCTGCTTCTTGCATTAGACACATCTGCTAATAGTAGAAACCAGTCACTCATACTAGAGGGGGAGGGAGTTATAGTGGTAACTGAGTAATGCTGTCAGATCCTCACTGCCACTTTTAGGAAGTTACAGTAGGTAGTATCTTCAGAAATGTAAATAATCTTTTGGAATCTCTATGCACCAGAGTTTTTAATCACTATAGTGAACAAGTGCTGAAGCCAGGTGGTTTCACTGCACTGATTACCTTAAATGTATTGCGCGTTTCAGAAACTGAAACATGCAGAATACAAGTGTACTGGAAGTAGAAAACAGTTAACAACAAATATATATCCAGTCAACAATTAGAACTGGAATCAAGTGATCTCAGAAGCCAACTTGAGCAGGCTCATTTAGACTTAAAAAGGTTTTTCCCCCAATAAGTTATAACTGTAGTGGACAGCAATTTTATATAGTGCTGACTAGGTTATTTTGCCATTGATGGTTTAAAGAGAGCTTACAAAAAGTAGAATACACCAGTTAATCTTTACCACTAATTTTTATATATGGAAAAAAAAAATGAATGTGGAGGCATGAATGGCATAACAAGCATGAATGACATCAGTGCATTGTTTCACATGTTGCATAGAATGAGACAAAGTGCTAGGAAGTGACATAGGCAGACAAGGTTCTTTGGTTCTAGGAAGTGACGCGCACATATACAAGTAAGGTACCAGAGTCAGTCACAAGAATCAGCAGCTATAAAAAGAGTACCATGCAATGAAATGAGCTCTTGTGCTCCAAATTCAACTCAGCAGCAGTCACTTGTTTGATCTGAATGGTGCAATGTCCCTGAGACTAAGCAGACTTGTGCTGATATCACGCCTCTGTTTCAGATTGCATCTTCCAGTATGTCGGTTCACGTAGTGTTCAGGCACGTGGTTTCTCCGTGCGAGGAGATCCATCACATGGTTAAGCTTAGACCTGATGATAGAGTAGTGGAACTGCCTCTCTTTATGTAGTGTGTGGAAGTTATCTGCCCTGTGGTAGCTACTGTACTCAGTAGACCTAAGAGAGGACATGGAGCTGACAGAGCTTGCCAGAGAGCACCTGGAAGAGGCTGAAGATTGTGAGCACAGGCTAGAAGCAGCAGAGGCAGAAGATCCATCTTTTGATTGTTGTCTCTGAAGTGAAGGCTCTTCCACATGCTCATCCTTATCTGTCTGCGTCACAGCAGTTTTCAGTAGAATTGCAGTTTGAGTGCTAGTTGCTTTAGTATCAACAGAGGTTTGGGTTCCTGTTGTCACAGTTACAATATCAGTTTGCGTGACAGCATTAGACAGCATCACTCTGGGCTTCTCCCATGCTTCTGTTTGAGTCGGCATGCTGTTCACCTGCTTGGATACGATGGTCTCCTGGCTGCTAAGCCATTGCTCTTCACCAAGACAGGGATGCCCCAGCTTATAAAGTGTACCTCCTGGGTTATCTTCAGCCAAATCTGTTTCTTTCAGTGGTTTCTTGGGAGTGCTTGACAGTCTGGCCAACTCTGCTCTCAAGTCATATCCCACAGCGTACTCTTTAGATGGCTTTTTGTTGACCTGCTGATCAAATGTGCCACTGTTCCTGCAGCTCGTTGGCACTTCAGAGCTGAGAGGCTGTGACTGTGCATAAAGGATCCTGAACTCTAGGTCAAAGCGTTCAACCACTTGGCCTGAAAGTACCAATAAGTTACTGCTGTTCAATTTCCCATCAGTCCATGTGAAACTGTTGAAAAACAGAACAATATCCAGCGGTAATACTACTAAACCAAGACATTAAAATGAATACAACCACATCCCAGGGGACAGGATGCAAGTTATTAGAAGACTCCCATTTAAAAACTTAATGTTAACTTTGCACCTGGACTACCCTAATTCCCTGTGCCGGGGTGTCAAATTCACGCAGCATCATGGGGTGTCTGCAGGGTGAGTCAGGCCCATAGGCCAGCCCCACACTGGAGTTAACATACGGGGCCATTCAGGAATGGGCACCTTGTTCAACACATCCCCTGAACCAGCCCTAGTCCAGGACTCAGTGCATGGAGCTGGCATAGGGTGCACACTGTATGCAGTGCCTGCACCAACTTGGCCCTTTGCACCGACTCTGGTCCATAAGACCAGTCCATAGGCCCAATCCAATCCAAGCCAGCCCTGGAGTTAGCACACAGGGCCAGTCTGGCAGGGAACCAAATGCAGCACACATGCTGGATCAGTCCTGTTACATGGAGCATATGCTCCCAGTCCAGCCCCATGCACACATACAGTGCACACCAGACTAGCTCTTCACATCACATGCAGTGTGCAGGGCTAGGGCTAGCATATGCATTATGCAGCACACCAAGTCAGGCTGAGTCCCAGGCTGGATCTTTGACACCCCTGTCTATGCCAACAAATGTCATTAAATTTGAATGCCACAATGAGTTTAGAGAGATTAGTACACCTCTTATTACTACAGTTAGCTCGCATGCAAGTTACAACTTTGTGCAAATTCAGTTTGCCTGGGTTTCACAGGTTGCAAAAGTTCACATTCTAACCATGTCTCTCTCCCACTGTAGTGTAATCTTACTGCTGAGAGGCAAACATGTATAGTAGTTTTCCAAAAACAAAAAAAACAAACCAGGGTTAGACTAGGCTTCTTGTCTGATACTGCAACAGGACAGGGGCATGAGTGAGAGAAGAAAGACTACAAATAAAAACAACAAAAACCATACATGCAAGGGCAAGCTTGTGAAGTATGTTTTGAGTGATAAAGATTATAGAAAGCTTGCATCAATACAGGGAATTGAAGGAAGTAATGAAATAGAGTTCCTTGCCTGTCAGAGATAACAGTAAGGGCAAAGACAGGCAAAAAGACTCTTCTCCTTAATTCAGAGTGCTCAACTGAAACAGTCCCTCTGAGAAACAGGGTTTTGCCCCCCCTGAACTTGGGGCACAACAATGCACACAAAGCCATGAGACATCCAGATGAGCGCCCTGTTTTTAGCAGCAGCCTAGAACACCATGGGTATTATAATCAACACAGGTTTGGACAGAGCTTCTGCAGACTCCTAACGAACTTTGAGTAGGCGAAGGCTAGTTTCTGGAGCTGATCATGCAATATTTGAGTTAGATTGTCCCCTTTACAGAAGACTCCTGCTCCCAGAGACTGTTGAAAAAGCAATAGACCCCAGTACTTGCCTGTAGGATCCAGTTGTTACTCTAATACCATCAATTAACATGAATTTCTCATGGGCTTTCCCAACAATTTTGGCACCAGACCTGGCGTAATAAATGTTCCCAGTAATGGTTCGAACTTTCATCATCTGTTTCAAGAAAAAAAAATTAAACCAGTTTCAAAAATAAGTGGTTTTATGTAGAAGAGAAGACAGTGGAAAAAAGTGAGCAGAACAATCAGTTATGTGACAGACACATTAGAGGTGAAGAGCTTGCCTCTACACAGCTTATATTTCAACTGTTGGGTATCGCAAGTCTGGAGGAACCAGAACGCAGTTCTTTTTTTAGCTACAAATCATGAATTAGGAGAGGAAAAAAAAGTTAGTTTGTTTGTCGTGCTAAGTCCTATCTAGAGAAGCTCCCACTAATATTAACTGGAAGTTTCTACAGAGATCCAGTGCAATATATGGCCTTATAATTTAATCAAGTTAGTACCATACTGTTATATTCCACAACAGAAAATGATTTAACATTTAGTACTGTCACTGTTTCTTCATGTTGGTTCTCTCTTCCCCCTTTTCTTGGTTTTCCCCCTGCTCCTCATCTTTGTTCTGTTCTCTCCATATTTTTTCCATTGATATCTATAGGGTTGACCCATACTAAAGACAACTCATACAGTACTTACAATCATCTGCTCAAGACTGACGCCCAAATTACTGCACATTTTCATGAAATGAGATACAAACTCTTGGTCCAACAGAATATACACTGCAACTTCCCGCTTCCCACAGGCTTCCAGAAGGTCACCAAAAATATCTATATCTGTGAAGCAATCCATAACCACAGCGATAACCTGCAGGAACACAAACAGCCAATAGTTCAGTAACAGCACTCATTATGCAAAGAGGTTCAGTCAACTTTCCAGCTTCAGCCAGCTTCCAAGTCTCCTCCTCCCCCACATTGATTCCATACAACATTTCTTTTTTTGGCCTCCCATTGTCTTTTGGCAAGACTCAGTTTTTTTGTGTTCCCCCAATTCAGGAAACCCAACTGCAGCCACTTCAACAGAGGAAGAAAAAGAGTTTCAGACCTCAAAACCCTTGTCTATGCTAGAGACTTCACTGAGTGTCAGCAACTCTCAAGCATTAAGAAATTTATCTTCACAATACCTTCAGGATGTGAGGATTCAACATTAACCCCACGTGGAGAACAGAGACAAAATGATTTGCTCAGACTCACACAAACATTCTATGAACCTGAACTCAAATATAAAGGGCTAGAGATCAATATTTTGAGTGTCAGTCCAGCGCCTTTAAAAGGCCAGCCTTCTACCTGTGCTGGTACCACTGTAGTTATTTTCTGTAAGAAATTCATTTAACTTCCCAGACCATTAAACTGGTGATGATGGCAATATGCTCTCTAGCATATGCACATCCACTGAGAGCTAGACAACTGTTCCATAATACAGATTAAATAAATCCATGTGCTTAGAGAAGATAGGGATAGGCAATGGATTTAGTGTGATGGGCTTGCTGCACCATGTTCATCAAGGAGAGTTGCTATGAAGAAATGCAGGTGTGGGAATCTAACATTATCAGACTGTAGAAGATGCACACTGCTTCAACACTCAGGATGTGTAATTAGGGCTCTGCCAAACAGCACTGTTTCATTTTGACTTCTGTTTCGCCATTTTGAATGGACAGTGTTTTGCTTCGAAGCACTGTTCTGTTTCGCTGAAACCATTTTGATACATTTCAACATTTCGCCCATAGGCTATAATGGGGAATCATGAAAATGCCTATAAACTTTGTCATTTCTTGCCTGATTTGGATGAAAATTGCAGGGATGGTAGCTCTTTCTGAGGGCATGCGGCCTGCCAAGTTTCAAAGAGATAGGTGCAGGGGTTTCTGGGAACCTGCACCTCAAACTGCTAAAAACAAAACTCATGTCACTTGCCAGCAGTGGCAGCCTCCTGTCATCCCACGCACAGATCTGGGGCCTCGCACCCCCAAGAGTAATCCAGCAGTGCTGGGAGGGCAGGTTGAGCTCCTTGGGGCTGGCAGAGCTGCTCAAGGTGCAGCCCTGACTCTCCCCACCTCCCATCGCTGGGGTACACTCTAAGCAGCTACACCAGCCCCACGGAGCTGCAAGCACCTACGCTGGACACTTTCAGGAGACATTTGGACGTTTATTTTACTGGGATCCTTTGACCCTAGCTGACTTCCTGCCCCTTGGGCAGGGGGAGGGACCCAGTGATCTTATGAGGTCCCTTCTGACCCCAAACGTCTATGAAATCTATGAAACTATCCCCTAAATGCAGATGGAGTCGGGAAATGCTGTATTTGCTCTTGAATTCCAAACCTGAAGGGAGAGAAAGCATGCCATGCAATTTGTGCAGCCTATGAAAGGTCACTCCATTTGAATATTATCTATCAAATACCTGAAACCTTTTAGAGTCTGGAAATTGACAAATGCTTAGGAAAAAAAAGCTGTCAACCAGACAGCCTCAGGAAAGGCAGGCTAGAGCGGGATTTAGCAAAAACACATGTATTGACTGACTTGCATCTGCTCCCTGTAGATCAATTGAAATAGTTTCTCAAATGGGAGCAGTTAGACCAAAGCTGCTACTTTTGAAAATTCTGTACTAAATTTGTCAAACCTATCAACTGTTGCATATTATTCACCTGGCTGCACTCTGCAACTTCAGTGACGCTTGCCATGTGAAAGGGTGTCATTAGAGGTGGAGCTTCTAACACTCCTGATTCATGGTCCCCACCTCGTCTTTTATATACCTGGAACCGTAGTGGCAGAAATGAGCACATCTGGCAAAATGAACTAACTCTGGTTCACAGGGTGCAAAGAGCATTCTTTGTAGAGCTAGATGGTGGGAAAATGCTTTGTTTCAAGTCTTTCTTCAGGGCATCTCAACATTCAGACTCACATACTGACTCAACAACTAGGCAATAATAACCAGCTGCTGGTTGACTGCATCTTGCTCACTGTTCAATTACATTTCATTTAATACACTTCTACCCTTTTTAGTGGGCTGTGTACAATTTCAGGTTGAAAGTTATATCCACCCATCATCCAGTGTGAATTTGATTTAAATTAAATAGAGTTAAATCATTATTTAAAGTCACCAGTCAGAAAGCCTCCACTTAATCACTGTTTTCTACAAAAGCACATACTTGTTGCTTAATATAGTCTTTTTTAAAAGACTAGCCAATTGCCCAATGAGAATGCCGGGGGGGGGGGGGGG